TTGAGTATAGATTTGACTGTGTCTCACCAGTTTTACGTGTCAGATATTCAGTTAGAAATATTTTGATTGCTACTGTGACTTTCCCTTTGTTCCAGTGGTTATTTGAAATTATTTGTTTCAGTTGCCAAACATTCAGGTTTCATAGAGTTACTTTGAATACTGATTTCTTGATTAATTCCATTATGATCCAAGAATATCCTTTTGTATCTTCAGTACTTTTAACTTCATTGAGCAGTACTTTATGGCCTAACATATGACCAGTTTTGGTAAATGCTACATATTTACTTGAAAAAGTTGATTTTCTGTAAATGTCAGGTCTATTTTTTTGTGCGTATTTGTTCTGCCTTTTTTTTCTGCTTATGTAAGTTATTGAAAGATACATATTAAGGTCTCTGTTATTTATGCAGATGTATAAATTTCACTCTATTTCAGAAATTTAAATTTTTTTTGTAGTCTAAGGATGTGATTTTAGGTGCATACAAGTGTAATGCTATTAATGGTCTCTATTATTATGAACTACTCCTTTTTATCTTTTGTAATATCTTTTTCTTACAGTTTCTCTTGTCTGATTATAGCTGTTTTAGAACATCTTTTAACATCTTGTTCTTTTAATGCTTTCAGTGCTTATGTATTGAAATATGCATCCTTCACTGATTTGAATGTACCTTTGTTACTTCTACATTTCTGATCAATGAAGGTACTTTAAAATTTCCTCTCAACTTTTGCATTATTAATACCAGGAATGTTAATTCTGCATGTATTTTGAACTACGTATATATTACTGTTGTTATTGTTTTAGCATTCAGTATTTACTTTTGATATAGTCTAATATTTCCCTTTTCCAATGCTTTTTATTCTTCCTGTGTTATTATACTTTAATCAGGGATTATTTTCTTTCTGTTCAAAGAATTAACTTCAGTATTTCTTTTAGGACAAGCGCTATGGCCTCAACTTCTCTAAGTTCTTATTTTTCCAAAAAGGCCTTTATTTAGCCTTCCTTTTCGAAGCATATTTTTTCTAAGTATAGATTCAGTTATTTTTTTTCAACACTGTAAATGCCTCTGTCTAACATCGTTTCATTTCAAAAGTCAGCTCTCTGTCTTATTATTGTTCCTTTGAAACCAATGTGCCTTTTGTATTTGCATGCTGTAAAGATTTTTCTTTCTGTTTCATTTTTTTAGCAGCTTTTATATGATGTGCCTGAGTGTTATTATTTTTTATTAGCCATGCTGTGAGTCCTAGAACTTCTTGACTGTTTTAGGTGGTGATGTTTTTCATCCATTTGGGGAAAGTTTTAGCCAATATTTCTTCTCATACTTCTGTTTCTCTCTGTATCTCTTGCAATCCAGTTACAGATATGTGAGACTTTTTCATCATGTTCTACATACCTATTATTTTCTTCTCCACATCTTTTTCTCACTTACTCCATATACTATAGAAACTAAATATTTTCTATATGTATTTTTATACAATTCTATAGGTGTATATATATTTTATCTCTCCTACTGTGTTAAATTTGTCTCTATCTTCACTTTTTGTAAGGTATCTGACTTCTACTTGATTTTAAAATTAAATCCCAGTTTTCTGTTGAAAATATCTCATCTTTGCACTTATATTTGGAACATATTAGACATAGTTATTTTAAAGTCTATTCCCAGTAGCTCAAATATTTGGATCTTCTGTTGGTCTACTTTTGCTTTTTTGCCCTTAAGTTTCTTAGTCATTTGGTCCTGTTTTCCAGTATGTCTGGTGATTTTTGATTTGTTGTAAGTAGAACTGTTGGAGTTCTGAATGATGTTATCTTTATTCTTGCAGGCTAATAAACTGTGTGCACATCACGTTGTTTCATCTGAGGATGATCTCCTTCTGGTTTGCTTCTGCTCCATAGATGTTGCCCCTTTAGGAGTCTCATCTGAAAGTCTGAGGTTTTTGTAAGGTCCTCTTCTATAGTGGTCCTAACCTCTGATTTTCATCCTCTCAGTACTCAGGGCTGCTGGAATACCTGCTTAAAATTGTAATATCTCAGCAGCTGTTGTCTGCCTATTTTCTTAGAATTTTGTCACTCAACTAATGCCGCAGAGAGAAATGTTTTGCAGCATGCCATGCTCACTCCTCGAAAGTTCTTTTTTATTCTGGAAATCTAGATCCCTCAAATTC